CGAAGGGGCCGGGGGTACGGGGAGGGGCGTTGGGAGCGAGGCGGCAACGTCGCCCGTCCCCCCTGCCGCCCCCTCCCGGACGTCGCCCCGGAGGACCTGGGAGGTGGAGGTCCGGGACCGCTTCGATGTGCAATATGCAGTCGTTGCAATCGATCCGCGGCTCACGTGGAAGTTCGCTCCGAGAGGATCAACGTGGAAAGAATCCACAGACAGGGGGAATCAGATGTATTCTTTTCCATTACTCGTCACCAAAAGGGTTTGTTTCGGTGGCGCTACAGCCCAGTGCGGATCTTCTTGGGACATCCACAAACTCCAAGTTCTCCCGGAGTCTTTGAGAATGAGATATCAGCCCATCGTCCTGTCTTACCGATGGGAGTGAGAATAGGATAGGGAAGGACGAATAGCAGCCGTTCGTGACGGGTTCCTTAAGATGTAGGTGTGATTAATGACCTTAATTGTAGGTGTGAAAATACCCCACTGTCGGGAATTGAACATAAGGACATCTCAGTTTACAAAGCCTCTTTTCTGGACTAACAACTACATAAGCTATCTCATTCGTTATTTATGCAAGGAAGGAATGCAGAAAATTATTCCATTGACGATATTAGCCAATACTTTTTCAACCTTGTCAAAAATGAGGGGAAAAATGATATATATTTGAATGTAATTGCAGAAACAACACACGGAACCAATTACGCATCGTTCAACGTTTAATTTCACGACAAAGAGTTTCTCATAACGCTCGATAAAGAACTAAAAAAGCTACACAGTTCCAAACAGACGTATTGTTAGTAAAAGAAACATCAATAGGATCTTGACACCCACTACTAAAAACTAAAATAAAGCTGTTGTTATGTTTACGAACTTTAGTAGCAATAGTTCCATATAGACAGGCATTGTAGGTAATAAAAATAAATTTGATTCATATGACCATTCAAGAAGCCAATGATCATATCTAGTGCCCGGAGGTTCAGGCATTTATTTTAACTAAAATAGGCAGCCAAATGCAATTCTGGCTAAAGTTGGGGCAAAAACACAGGAAACATTAAAATAAATCAGCATTAAAAGTAATTAAATGAAAAAAATTAATAATTATAATGATTCACATTTTTATTCTAACTCGAAAATTTACGTTAGCACTAACGAGGAAGGAAATTACCTATTCTTTGTAATCTTTGTTGCACATGACCATCTGGTATGGCGACAAATTTATTTTACTCGTGACGCTGTCTCTACAAAATGCTATTGTGGACTTCCTTTTTAATCTTGAAATGCTATCAATGATAATGGAATTGTAGATTTCGTTCTTCGTACTTGTGTATTAGACAGAAGGGAAGAGAGAACAAGGAGGAACTGAGAAGGGTACAACAAGTACAGAGAGATGTTTGCAAAAGGGATCCTAAGCCATACGCAAGCATAGAATTTTTAGAATAGCACTTTATCGTGAACGAACAAGTCTGTAATCTTCAATGAAAAATATAAAAAATCTTCACTGGTATCGAGTTCCTTTCCCTTTTAGATTTTTAACACAACCTGACACTGGAGCCTCCGCGTCCACAGAAAAACAATACACGATCGTGCAAATTAGTCCGGGCTTACAGGTATGTTTCTAGCTTAATAGATATTGGTGCCAGGAGGGGAAAACTGGAAAACAATGACGAAAAAGGCAGATAATATCGCTAATTTTCTGACGGTGTCCTAGATCTTTTAAATTTAAAAGTTTTAAAAGATTTTACAATTAGACAATTTATTCTTTTCCCAGAAATACATTGGTTCAGGATAGACCTTGATTAGATTTGATTTGATTTATTTAGACAAAGCAGTAAAACTGTATATGACGCATGGGGGAGAAGTAGCTTGAAATAGCTGAAAATGCTTTGTCCGCTAGTTTTCTTAAGTTCTCAACTTTTCTTCTCAACATTTTCATTATAACTAGATGAAAAATGAATGAAAATTAAAAAGTTAAAAACGTCATAGCAATACTTCATAGTAATTTCGTTTCCCAATTTTTCAGAAGTATCTATAGTCCCGATATAGAAAATTATTTTTTTATAAGAAAATAGACTTACATCTTCCATTTAGCGATCATTTAAAATGAAAATTTAGTATCCAACTCAACAGTTAGGATTTGAAATAGACAGGGCCACCTAAAGGTGAATGCTCGAGAGTAGCTGTGAAAATCTATTAAAACGATGCAGTCACGAATAAGAATTGATATTTCATATTCAGCGCATCACGCATTTCTTACATAATCCTTCATAGAAAAAGTGAAGAATCATTATAATATATCCGGTATACAGGACCTGTCTGAAAAGAAATTCGCCTTGAAGTCTTTCCCACGACGTAATATTGCTACGGCACTGTCATTTTCCACAGTCAAGGGGAGAATGCCTTCATGTCTATGTAAAATTTACGTCCGTTTAGATTGTCGAAGTCCAGTCTCCCTGATCCACTGAGCAAATGCTGAGATGGCCCCTTGTTTTGCTTCCGGACATAAATGGAGCTTCACTATGCGCACTTTTTGTGGAGGTGTCCTTTTGCTTGTGGGAGTAGAACGGGGGGGGGGGGAATTCGTTAGCAATGCAAAAAAATCAAACCTGTAGTTCGTTTACCGTCGTAAAGAAGATTTCTATAACTCGGGGGCGAAAATGTCTAGTTATTCAGGTGTTGTTAATGTCGTGCTTTTTTAAATTTAAACAATTAAAATTTTATTACTTTTTGTTTATTTTATTTAGTTTTTATTTTTATCTTTCAACTATTTGTAGTTAATATGTTGGAAAGCGATACTGGAGCTAAAGAAATCGTATTTCACCATAAGTGACATACAATTTTACTGTTTCTTATTAAATAAATCAAAATATTACATGTGTTGCATGCCATACACTATCCTCGAACCTAGACGAGGGAGCAGGGTACGTCTTTATGCCATCTTTCTTGGGCAGTGTTACTATTTGTGGTTTTCTTGTGCCTTAAACAGGATTGTTGATGGTAATCGACATCATCAGGAGTAAATAGTGCCGAGAAATTAATGATTGTGGACCGTGACAGACGGTGACAGACGGTGGTGCAGATTTGATACGTTGGTGGTATGTATTATATCTTATTTGATTTCATAGCTTTCGATTTTCTTTACTACGCCTCCAAGCCCCTGCGCCCTCGGGGTAGGCATTACTTAGCGATACTGTTTCGGAAATGGAAAAATTGAGAGAGATCCACACAGCACCCGCAAGGCTGTAGAATATCTCGTACTTGTAATTCAAAATTGCGGAAAAATAAATATTATGTTATACATTTATGACTGATAAAAACTAAAATAAACATGCAATCAATGTAATCATCAATCTCTTCTGCAAGAGTTTTGCTTCACTGTAGCTTGATAACGCTTAGTATCTTTCTTTATTGAAGGGAAAAATAATTAAGAAACGTGTTTGTCGAAGGCTGAAATAGCGTTCTCTCAGTGTAACATATGTTTACGTATGGGGCTGACTCGGTGAAAAAATTCTGTTTTCTTCTAGTTAAGGAATTAACATTTCCCATAAATATATTCGTTGTTGAAGAATCAATGATCTCAGCTGCAGCAATTGATAATTTACAAGATTTCCTAGTTTCCGAATAATTTTCAGTTGATACAAAACATACGTCAGTGAAAGAGCATTTTATAATTCATGCATAAACTAGGAAATTGGGCACTTGAATTTTATAATCATATGTGTAATAATATTCACGTTCGGAACGAATGTGC